TTGTATGAGTTTGTAAGGGTTTAGTGTTTGATGTTTGTATGAGTTTGTATGAGTTTAATGTTTAGTGTTTGATGTTTCTATGAGTTTGTATGAGTTTAGTGTTTGATGTTTGTATGAGTTTGTATGAGTTTAGTGTTTAGTGTTTGATGTTTGTATGAGTTTGTATGAGTTTAGTGTTTGATGTTTGATGTTTGTATGAGTTTGTATGAGTTTAATGTTTAGTGTTTGATGTTTGTATGAGTTTGTATGAGTTTGTATGAGTTTAGTGTTTAGTGTTTGATGTTTGTATGAGTTTGTATGAGTTTAGTGTTTGACGTTTGATGTTTGTATGAGTTTGTTTGAGTTTAATGTTTAGTGTTTGATGTTTGTATGAGTTGTATGAGTTTAGTGTTTGATGTTTGATGTTTGTATGAGTTTGTTTGAGTTTAGTGTTTAGTGTTGACATTTATATGAGTTTGTATGAGTTTAGTGTTTGATGTTTGTATGAGTTTGTATGAGTTTAGTGTTTGATGTTTGTATGAGTTTGTACGAGTTTAGTGTTTAGTGTTTGACGTTTGTATGAGTTTAGTGTTTAGTGTTTGATGTTTGTATGAGTTTGTATGAGTTTAGTGTTTAGTGTTTGATGTTTGTATGAGTTTGTATGAGTTTAGTGTTTGATGTTTGTATGAGTTTGTACGAGTTTAGTGTTTAGTGTTTGACGTTTGTATGAGTTTGTATGAGTTTAGTGTTTAGTGTTTGATGTTTGTATGAGTTTGTATGAGTTTAGTGTTTAGTGTTTGATGTTTGTATGAGTTTGTTTGAGTTTAGTGTTTAATGTTTGATGTTTGTATGAGTTTAGTGTTTGATGTTTGTATGAGTTTGTATGAGTTTATTGTTTAGTGTTTGATGTTTGTATGAGTTTGTATGAGTTTAGTGTTTAGTGTTTGATGTTTGTATGAGTTTGTATGAGTTTACTGTTTAGTGTTTGATGTTTGTATGAGTTTGTATGAGTTTACTGTTAAGTGTTTGATGTTTGTATGAGTTTGTATGAGTTTAGTGTTTGATGTTTGTATGAGTTGTATGAGTTTTACTGTTAAGTGTTTGATGTTTGTATGAGTTTGTATGAGTTTAGTGTTTGATGTTTGTATGAGTTTGTATGAGTTTAGTGTTTAGTGTTTGATGTTTGTATGAGTTTGTATGAGTTTACTGTTTAGTGTTTGATGTTTGTATGAGTTTGTATGAGTTTACTGTTTAGTGTTTGATGTTTGTATGAGTTTGTATGAGTTTAGTGTTTGATGTTTGTATGAGTTTGTATGAGTTTACTGTTTAGTGTTTGATGTTTGTATGAGTTTGTATGAGTTTAGTGTTTGATGTTTGTATGAGTTTGTATGAGTTTAGTGTTTGATGTTTGTATGAGTTTGTATGAGTTTAGTGTTTAGTGTTTGATGTTTCTATGAGTTTGTATGAGTTTAGTGTTTAGTGTTTGTATGAGTTTGTAAGGGTTTAGTGTTTGATGTTTGTATGAGTTTGTATGAGTTTAATGTTTAGTGTTTGATGTTTGTATGAGTTTGTATGAGTTTAGTGTTTGATGTTTGATGTTTGTATGAGTTTGTTTGAGTTTAGTGTTTAGTGTTTGACATTTATATGAGTTTGTATGAGTTTAGTGTTTGATGTTTGATGTTTGTATGAGTTTGTATGAGTTTAGTGTTTGATGTTTGTATGAGTTTGTACGAGTTTAGTGTTTAGTGTTTGACGTTTGTATGAGTTTAGTGTTTAGTGTTTGATGTTTGTATGAGTTTGTATGAGTTTAGTGTTTAGTGTTTGATGTTTGTATGAGTTTGTATGAGTTTAGTGTTTGATGTTTGTATGAGTTTGTACGAGTTTAGTGTTTAGTGTTTGATGTTTGTATGAGTTTGTATGAGTTTAGTGTTTAGTGTTTGATGTTTCTATGAGTTTGTATGAGTTTAGTGTTTAGTGTTTGATGTTTGTCTGAGTTTGTATGAGTTTACTGTTTAGTGTTTGATGTTTGTATGAGTTTGTATGAGTTTAGTGTTTGATGTTTGTATGAGTTTGTATGAGTTTAGTGTTTAGTGTTTGATGTTTGTATGAGTTTGTATGAGTTTAGTGTTTAGTGTTTGATGTTTCTATGAGTTTGTATGAGTTTAGTGTTTAGTGTTTGTATGAGTTTGTAAGGGTTTAGTGTTTCATGTTTGTATGAGTTTGTATGAGTTTAATGTTTAGTGTTTGATGTTTGTATGAGTTTGTATGAGTTTAGTGTTTGATGTTTGATGTTTGTATGAGTTTGTATGAGTTTAATGTTTAGTGTTTGATGTTTGTATGAGTTTGTATGAGTTTAGTGTTTGATGTTTGATGTTTGTATGAGTTTGTATGAGTTTAATGTTTAGTGTTTGATGTTTGTATGAGTTTGTATGAGTTTGTATGAGTTTAGTGTTTAGTGTTTGATGTTTGTATGAGTTTGTATGAGTTTAGTGTTTGATGTTTGATGTTTGTATGAGTTTGTTTGAGTTTAATGTTTAGTGTTTGATGTTTGTATGAGTTTGTATGAGTTTAGTGTTTGATGTTTGATGTTTGTATGAGTTTGTTTGAGTTTAGTGTTTAGTGTTTGACATTTATATGAGTTTGTATGAGTTTAGTGTTTGATGTTTGTATGAGTTTGTATGAGTTTAGTGTTTGATGTTTGTATGAGTTTGTACGAGTTTAGTGTTTAGTGTTTGACGTTTGTATGAGTTTAGTGTTTAGTGTTTGATGTTTGTATGAGTTTGTATGAGTTTAGTGTTTAGTGTTTGATGTTTGTATGAGTTTGTATGAGTTTAGTGTTTGATGTTTGTATGAGTTTGTACGAGTTTAGTGTTTAGTGTTTGACGTTTGTATGAGTTTGTATGAGTTTAGTGTTTGATGTTTGTATGAGTTTGTACGAGTTTAGTGTTTAGTGTTTGACGTTTGTATGAGTTTGTATGAGTTTAGTGTTTAGTGTTTGATGTTTGTATGAGTTTGTATGAGTTTAGTGTTTAGTGTTTGATGTTTGTATGAGTTTGTATGAGTTTAGTGTTTGATGTTTGTATGAGTTTGTATGAGTTTAGTGTTTAGTGTTTGATGTTTGTATGAGTTTGTATGAGTTTAGTGTTTAGTGTTTGATGTTTCTATGAGTTTGTATGAGTTTAGTGTTTAGTGTTTGTATGAGTTTGTAAGAGTTTAGTGTTTAGTGTTTGATGTTTGTATGAGTTTGTATGAGTTTAGTGTTTAGTGTTTGATGTTTATATGAGTTTGTATGAGTTTATTGTTTGATGTTTGATGTTTGTATGAGTTTGTACGAGTTTAGTGTTTAGTGTTTGATGTTTGTATGAGTTTGTATGAGTTTAGTGTTTAGTGTTTGATGTTTGTATGAGTTTGTTTGAGTTTAGTGTTTAATGTTTGATGTTTGTATGAGTTTAGTGTTTGATGTTTGTATGAGTTTGTATGAGTTTATTGTTTAGTGTTTGATGTTTGTATGAGTTTGTATGAGTTTAGTGTTTAGTGTTTGATGTTTGTATGAGTTTGGTGTTTAGTGTTTGATGTTTGTATGAGTTTGTATGAGTTTAGTGTTTGATGTTTGTATGAGTTTGTATGAGTTTAGTGTTTAGTGTTTGATGTTTGTATGAGTTTGTGAGTTTAGTGTTTAGTGTTTGATGTTTGTATGAGTTTGTATGAGTTTAGTGTTTGATGTTTCTATGAGTTTAGTGTTTAGTGTTTGATGTTTGTATGAGTTTGTATGAGTTTAGTGTTTGATGTTTGTATGAGTTTAGTGTTTAGTGTTTGATGTTTGTATGAGTTTAGTGTTTAGTGTTTGATGTTTGTATGAGTTTGTATGAGTTTATTGTTTAGTGTTTGATGTTTGTATGAGTTTAGTGTTTAGTGTTTGATGTTTGTATGAGTTTGTATGAGTTTAGTGTTTAATGTTTGATGTTTGTATGAGTTTACTGTTTAGTGTTTGATGTTTGTATGTGTTTGTATGAGTTTCGTGTTTAGTGTTTGATGTTTGTATGAGTTTGTATGAGTTTAGTGTTTAATGTTTGATGTTTGTATGAGTTTAGTGTTTGATGTTTGTATGAGTTTAGTGTTTAGTGTTTGATGTTTGTATGAGTTTGTATGAGTTTAGTGTTTAGTGTTTGATGTTTGTATGAGTTTGTATGAGTTTAGTGTTTAGTGTTTGATGTTTCTATGAGTTTGTATGAGTTTGTAAGAGTTTAGTGTTTGATGTTTGTATGAGTTTGTATGAGTTTAGTGTTTAGTGTTTGATGTTTGTATGAGTTTGTATGAGTTTAGTGTTTAGTGTTTGATGTTTGTATGAGTTTAGTCTTTAGTGTTTGATGTTTGTATGAGTTTGTATCAGTTTGTAAGAGTTTAGTGTTTAGTGTTTGATGCTTGTATGAGTTTGTATGAGTTTCAGTGTTTAGTGTTTGATGCTTGTATCAGTTTGTATGAGTTTGTATGAGTTTAGTGTTTAGTGTTTGATGTTTGTATGAGTTTGTATCAGTTTGTAAGAGTTTAGTGTTTAGTGTTTGATGCTTGTATGAGTTTGTATGAGTTCAGTGTTTAGTGTTTGATGCTTGTATCAGTTTGTATGAGTTTGTATGAGTTTAGTGTTTAGTGTTTGATGTTTGTATCAGTTTGTATGAGTGTTTAGTTTATCACAGTGTTTAGTTCATCACAGCATGTATGAATGATGAGACTGAGATCAGATCTAGTCTTCACATCTGAACCACAACATTAAATCACTGAGAGAGCAGCTTTAGCCTCTGGGTAACGTACATCATTAAGAGGCTTCACAACAACTACATAACAAACATAATAATGATCCTTTCGGCCTGACTTAGCAGTGAGTCATCAGCTTTAAGGCCTCGTTTACCTTCACAGCAATTTCATCTAATTGAATTCATCAAGAATCTGCTGGCTTTTCAGAACTCTGTGTGGTCCTGAAGGAGGGAGAATAACACAGACAGCTTGGCTTTATGGGTGGAAAACGTAATGGAATCATCTGTATGTTGGTCTGAGGGCGAGAGCTGTGATTGGCTGAGAGATGCTGATGGGAATGTTTAAATTCTTCCCTTCTGAAGAGGAACGGACAGATTTTACGGAGAAATCCCGACGTTTGTGGAGTTAATGGGAGTATATTAGAGGATAAAGTGAGTACTGTTAATTTACGGTGGATTTACTGTATATTTACTGTATGTTAACTGTATATTAACCACAGCAACTAAGCATTTTAATGTCTCTCTCTCTCTGTCTCTCTCTCTCTCTCTCTCTCTCTGCTCTCTCTCTCTCTCTCTCTCTCTCGCTCTCTCTGTCTCTCTCTCTGTCTCTCAGGTATGGAGGTGTTGGTTCTCCTCTCCTGTCTGCTGGCTGGATCTGCAGCATTTCCCGTATGTGACTGTATATTTGCTGTGTTCTGTTCTCTCGGTTCTCCTCAGATCTCTGATCTTTACTCTCGGCTCTGTGTTTGCAGGTTGCTGAGAGCGACAGTAACGAGGTGAGTTCATCAGTTTACTGTTCTGTTTATGAATACGGAGGTTATGTGTGTTCAAATCATCAAAGCTGTCAGACATTATCACTGTCAGATCAGATACCTAGAACCTTTAATCTGAACGCCAGCTCCCCAACACCACACTGCAGATTAAAATGAATGTGGTATTAATGTTCTCTGATTTAGAGGTTATAAACATTTTACAGGTTCTATTTAATGTAATAGAAATGTTCTCCAGGTTCTGAGATACGTCCTGATATATGTAATAGAAATGTTCTCCAGGTTCTGAGATGTATGCAGATGTTCCCAGGTTCTGATGAATGTAATAGAAATGTTCCCTAGGTTCTGATAAATGTAATGCAGATGTTCTCCAGGTTCTGATGAATGTAATGCAGATGTTCTCCAGGTTCTGATGAATGTTATGTAGATGTTCTCCAGGTTCTGATGAATGTAATGCAGATGTTCTCCAGGTTCTGATGAATGTTATGTAGATGTTCTCCAGGTTCTGATGAATGTTATGCAGATGTTCTCCAGGTTCTGATGAATGTAATGCAGATGTTCTCCAGGTTCTGATGAATGTTATGTAGATGTTGTCCAGGTTCTGATGAATGTGATGTAGATGTTCTCCAGGTTCTGATGAATGTTATGTAGATGTTGTCCAGGTTCTGATGAATGTGATGAAAATGTTCTGCAGGTTCTGCCGCAGGTACAGAGGGTCTCTGGAGCTCTGTGTCATCAGGTGAGGAGCTGATTCAGGACTCATGTGTTACGGAACCTCCTAAAGGACTGAATGATGAAGTCATCGTTTCCCACTGAAGTGACTGTGAACTGTAAATGTGCTGTTTACAGTGTTTTAATTTTGCTTATTCATTAAGAATCCAGTGAGGAAATAGCTGAGTTTCCCATTCCATATCAGCTAAATTCACCTTTGACCTCGACCTGCTGCACCGAGTCAGTCTGAGCATCACTGACCGAGTCAGTCTGAGACAGTTTCTCAGTTTCAGTGTAGATCGTGTACATAAACACAGAGCTGAGCCTGTTAGACTGTTCTAGATTCAGTTTGGTCTGTTCTGATGGTGAAAATTCTCATGTATTGCAGGTGAATCAGAAAAACGCAGTTCAGCTGGTGTTACCGATTCATTAAAACAAACTATCAGATCTGAGTCACATTAAGGCAAAAAATCAGATTTGTGTTCACACAGTCCTGAAAACATCAGATCTGAGTCACATTAGGGCAAAAAAATCAGATTTGTGTTCACACAGTCCTGAAAACATCAGATCTGAGTCACATTAAGGCAAAAAATCAGATTTGTGTTCACACAGTCCTGAAAACATCAGATCTGAGTCACATTAGGGTAAAAAATCTGATTTGTGCCACGTCAACCTGGTAATGTGAACGTAGCCAAAGAGTCGCAGCTGATTTAAAATCAGCTCTCAGATTTGCAGATTTATACCAACTTGTGTGTGTTTCTCCATTTTCCCTCAGCCGAACTTTGCAGCACTGTGTCCTCCATACGTCCCTGGGAGCGTCCGGCCTGGTCCTCTTCCTGCAGACTCAGACGAGAATGAGGAAGAGGAGGAGAAAGAAGAGGAGCCTAAAGAGCCTGAACCAACTCAGAGCTCTACTGTTGGACCTACAGGATCAACCACTCCAAGCACTGTGGTCATATCTACAACCAAACCATCAGGTCCAGGTGTTGTGCCTGGACAAAGTATGACAGTAAGTCCAGGTGTGGTGCAAGATCCTGATATTATACCTGGTCTAACTCCAGGTGTTGTCCCTGGCCCTGGTGTGGTAGTAAGCCCAGGTGTGGTACAAAGTCCTGATGTGTTACCCACTCTAGCTCCAGGTGTTGTTCCTGGACAAGGTGTGGTAGTAAGCCCAGGTGTGGTACAAGGTGGATTGTAATGTGAAAAGTTTTTCCCAACTCATTTTGGAGCATTTCTACTGATCCATTTGTCATAAAATTTCCACACAATGCTAAGGGCAGCTGGTGTTACAAAAATGGCTACGCTCACATTACAAGCCTCGTTGCTCATATCAGATTTTTTGCTCAAATCCGATCTCTCTGACAGGACGGTTCACACTCGTTTAGGTAAGTGACTCAAATCAGTCATTAATGTGATGAACCAGCGTCCTGAAATGACCCTCATGAGCTCATCCTACTCAGTAACGTCACGTGAATGAATCACGTTCATCATCAGCACAAACTAACGAGCAGAACGAGCTTCGCTGAGAAGATCATTAACTCTGATCAGCTCTCAGCTTCATTATTAGAGCGAGATGAAGGAGAAAAAGGTGAGATGAGCTGCTTTTCCACCGTTTACAGGCTTTAACGTTCACAAACCCTGAAACCATCACATCTGAGTCACATTAGTGCAAAAAATCAGATTTGTGCCACTTCAACCTGTTTTCAGGGTTGTGTGCACATGCAAATCTGATCTTTTCAAATTCGACCTGAGTCACTTTCATATGTGGTCCTAGATTGGATACATATCCGATTTGTGGCCATGCGATCTTAATGTGACACTCAGATTAGAATTCAGATTAGATTAAGATTAAGAGACCCTTATTAGTCCCACAATGGGGAAATTTCACCTCTGCATTTAACCCATCCGTGCAGTGAAACACCACATACACACTAGTGAACACACACGCTAGGGGGTAGTGAACACACTTGCCCGGAGCGGTGGGCAGCCCTATCCACAGCGCCCGGGGAGCAGCTGGGGCTTAGGTGCCTTGCTCAAGGGCACCTCAATCACAAGCTGTCGGCTCAAGGGATCAAACCGGTGACCTCCGGTCACAGGGCTGGTTCCCTAACCTCCAGCCCACGACTTCCCCCCAGTGATGGAATGGGGGAAATTCTATGCTTTTCTCCCACTGGGCGTGGGCCATCATTCAGCGTTACCATGACAGCAGCGCCGAACAGAAGTTAAAGCCTGTAAACGGTGGAAAAGCAGCTCATCTCACCTTTTTCTCCTTCGTCTCGCTCTAATAATGAAGCTGAGAGCTGATCAGAGTTAATGATCTTCTCAGCGAAGCTCGTTCTGCTCGTTAGTTTGTGCTGATGATGAACGTGATTCATTCACGTGACGTTACTGAGTAGGATGTGCGCATGAGGGTCATTTCAGGACGCCGGTTCGTCACATTAATGACAGATCTGAGTCACTTACCTAAACGAGTGTGAACCGTCCTGTCAGAGAGATCGGATTTGAGCAATGAGGCTTGTAATGTGAACGTAATTTGCAGATTTATACCAACTTGTGTGTGTTTCTCTATTTTCCCTCAGCCGAACTTTGCAGCGCTGTATCCTCCATACGTCCCTGGGAGCGTCCGGCCTGGTCCTCCTCCTGCAGACTCAGACGAGAATGAGGAAGAGGAGGAGAAAGAAGAGGAGCCTAAAGAGCCCGAACCAACTCAGAGCTCTACTGTTGGACCTACAGGATCAACCACCCCAAGCACTGTGGTCATATCTACACCCAAACCATCAAGTCCAGGTGTTGTGCCTGGACAAAGTGTGGCAGTAAGTCCAGGTGTGGTGCAAGATCCTGCTATTATACCTGGTCTAACTCCAGGTGTTGTCCCTGGCCCTGGTGTGATAGAAAGCCAAGGTGTGGTACAAGGTCCTGATGTGTTACCCACTCTAGCTCCAGGTGTTGTTCCTGGACCAGGTGTGGTAGAAAGCCAAGGTGTGGTACAAGGTCCTGATGTGTTATCCACTCTAGCTCCAGGTGTTGTTCCTGGACCTGGTGTGGTAGTAAGCCTAGGTGTGGTACAAGGTCCTGATGTGTTATCCACTCTAGCTCCAGGTGTTGTTCCTGGACCTGGTGTGGTAGTAAGCCTAGGTGTGGTGCAAGGTCCTGATATTTCACCTGGTCTAACTCCAGGTGTTGCCCCTGGACTAGATATGGTAGTAAGCCCAGGTGTGGTACAAAGTCCTGATATTTCACCTGGTCTAGCTCCAGGTATTGTGCCTGGACCAGGTGTAGTAGTACCTCCAGGTGTGGTACCAAGTCTAGATGTTTTACCTGGTCTTGCTCCAGTTGTTGCACTTGGACCACATGTAGTAGTAAGTCCAAGTGGAACAGCTGGTCAGAGAGTAATACCTATTCCAGGTGTTTCTGGAGGTGTTAACCCAGGCGTGAACACAATTATTGCTCTACCGCCAGGTGTGGATGTAGGTACAGTTGTTAACCTTGGTGGTCATAGAGGTGATATGCCTGTGGCTGCAGGTTTTGGGGGGAAACCAGGTGTTGTGAGCTTTGGTCTGGAGCCAGGTAAGAGTGTGATGTTGGACGGATCGCTGTTGCTACCAGGGGTAGCTGCAGGTGTGGAGGGGTGGGGCATACCTGTCCTCATCTCACCTGGACTGGCAGGACTCAAAGCTCCAGTCATTGTCCCTCCAAAGCCCCTGACCCCAGCAATAATCTGGACATGCCTCAAACAGAGTACCTGACTCTGGAGAGCTCTATTCTGGAGCCAAATTCAGGCTGTATAACCAAAATTCCTGTCTGAGTGATTCATGTTAAGATAAATAAGAGCTCCGTCAGATTTACGTGTCTGAATCGCACTAAACTTGAAATACACTCTTTTCACTGGGCAGAAAACCTGTCTACTGTAATCACAATCCTGATCTTGTATGGAATGTTTACCTGCTGTTCTTCCTTTTAATAAAATACGGTACTATGCACTCATGACTCCTGGTTGTTTTCAATCTACAGTTACTATAAAAACAGTTGTTGATCTGATGTTCATCTATGTTTCCACTGTAATTTGGCTATCAGGTCTGGCCCAGAGGGAAGCACCCACCTGCTGACCAGCAGCGCTCTCAGTCATTATGTAGCCCACTCTTGTGTTAGCATAACACTTTTTGTGCTAGCACCACAGTGGGGTAGCTAGTCTTTTGCTAGCACAGTGGTATCACAGAACTGTGTACCCACTAACAGTTGCTCTGCGAGCGTAACACAAGCTAGACAACTAGTGCTGGGGTTCCTTTCCTGCTGAAAAAGACCTTTAGAACCTGAGGATTAATTGCCTTAATGGTTACCATTATAGACGACTAGTTTATGTAGGGCACCATTAGATTCCATTTAGGCAGCAATCAAATGTGTCTGGAATCTGAACTCCTGTTAAACCATTACAGTCCATACTCTGTGACATCAACCCATCAGGAAAACTCTAAAACCATTAGAGACCATTGGACGCACTGAGGTAGCTCGCTAGCTAGTGACTTTAAGCTATAAGGTATCTCCCCAGATAGCAAGAGTGTAGCTGGCCACTGTTGGCCCGCTGATGGCAAAGCTGGTGGTCCACTGGCCTTATGCTCAGTGTTATCCGGGTGGTCCGGTGGTTAAGCAGAGTATTAGACAAAATTCCACATTTCCTCGCTCTTTTTTCACTTACAGTCCACATCACTTACATTTCCTTCCTTCCTTCCTTTCTTCAGTTATCCTTCAGTTCATTTAGTGAATAATTTTAATCTGCTCAGTTTCAGCAGCAAAACTTTCTATAAAATCATTTTATATCAGGTCTAATCATTGTTTTTTCCTCTCAGTTGTTTGTTTATTTTCTAAAATAAAAGGCTGTTTGCATTTAAAAATACGTTTGGGGAGATCAAAAACTAGTTTGTGGTCCCAGGGTGGTCCAGCAGTGGCAAACTGTCAGTTTGGGTGCCGACCTTATCAAGCCAGTGGACCGATATATGCTCGCTGTCTGGGTCTCTTCTTAGACAC